TTCTCCTCTAGGTTGCTTCTCTCCTTGGTTAGTTTCCGTCACTTCTTGTCTTGCTTTTTGGTGCTTTGGAAATTAGTTTGACCCCCTCGTCTTCATAGGCGTTCCTCAGATATTGGAAGATGCTATCGTGTCACCCCAGGCCCTTCTTTTCATTAAACTCCACCTACCCAATTCCTGTTAACAGTTGTATGTTTTAGCCTCCAGTTCCCTAATCATCTTTGTTGCTCTTCTCTGCACTCTTTCTAGAGTCTCAACATTTTTTTTGTTATCACGGTGACCAAAAGTGTGGCCTTACCAAGGCCTTATAAAGCAGTACAACCCTTCACATGATCTTGATTCTATTCCTCTATTAATGCAGACTAGGACTGCATTGGGCTTTTTTGACTGCTGTAGTATAGTACATTGTTGGCTCATATTTAAGTGATTGTCCACTGGGATTCCGAGGTCCCTCCCAGTTACTGGCATTAAGCCAAGTTTTACCTAGTCTGTACCTACATAGTTTTTCTTGCCTAAGTGTAAGACTTTTCCTTTCTCTACATTGCATTTCGCTTTGTTAGACAGGGCCCAGTGTTCAAGCCTGTCAAGATCCCTCTGCGAGATGCAGGCAGCACACAAAACCACGCACCCTCCGGTCTGCAGAAAAACGGAACGGAACCGGTCCCTGGTACCCAAAAGGTTGGGGACCTCTGCGATACAGAACTTTGGGGTACCCCACTGCTTACTTCCCTCTATACGGATGTAGTTCCGTCCTTGGCAACTTTAACACTTGTGGACTTCAAGTCCCAGAATTCCCCGGCCAGCTAGTATGGGAGTTGAAGTCCACAAGTGTTAAAGTTGCCAAGGACGGAACTACATCCGTATAGAGGGAAGTAAGCAGTGGGGCACCCCACAGTTCTGTATCGGGTCCAATACTTTTCAATATCTTCATAAATGACTTACTTGATCACCCTGTTGTACAGTGAGATTAAGAGAGCAACTCCTGAACTTCCTTTCAACTCAGTGAGTGATGCGGGGGGGGGGGGGGGCAGACTTGCCACATACAGTATCCCCCCACCTGAGATCCACCCCCCAACCCACAGCTCTTCCAGTAACTCTCATGCAGAACCCCCCCCCTCCCCAAAGACTTTCAAGCACCCCTGAATATTAAACACAGCTGGTTTTTATTGATTTAAAAACGTGGCATTATTTGGGTTCCTGACCTTCAGCCAGGGTGGCGTCAGGTTACACAGAGGCCTGAGAAGAGACCAAGAACGTCTCCGCCAATTTTCATTGTACAAATCTCGATTTTGGGAGTTAAACCGCAGGCTCGGGAAGGCCGAGAACTCAGCACGGGAAGAGTTAAGGAAGGATCCAACAGAGAACGCTACAAAAGGGGGGAAACCGGTCAGGGGTCAAGACTGGAACACGGTACCCTTCCGAACTCCCTCTTCGGAGGGCAGAAGTTGAGGGACATTAAAAAGGCGCAATCATTTTTGTCTAGGATTCGGAGGGAAATCCGGGAAGGAGCCTCGTGCAGGCTGCAAAGCCGAGAGGGCGTTTCTGCGGAGGAGGACCGGGGAGGGGTCAGCTGCCAGCTACCTACAGAAGCCCTCAGAGCCCCACCTGGCTTCGACCCGCAGCCCTCACAAGAAGGCATCGCACCACTCGCGCAGGCACCCGTAGCAGTCTCTGGATTGTTTGGCGTTGGCTCCGCACGTGTCCTTCAGCCATTCGCGGAAGAGGTCTTCGTCCTTCTTCAGCACTAAGAACTGGCCCAGCACTACGTAGGCCTGGGTTCAAGGGAGGGGAAAGGAAAGAAAGGGAGGGCAGTGAGTAAGAGGGACCGATGTCAGGGCGTAAAACAAAGCCACCGGGAGGCGAAAGAGTTGATCTGGAGAGTGAGATGGGTAGCAGAGAAACTTAGTAAGTCAATAAATACATTTAATAAGTAAATAAAGGTTCTGGTATCCCAGAACTGTGAAGCCCAACAGAGCAGCAAAGTTCTCAGCCTTTGACTGTGAGTTCCAATTCTGCCTAAGGTACAAAAGACAGCTACGCTCAATCACCAGGAGATGGTGAATTCTAGTCCCGCTTTAGGCACCTTGGCCCCACCCACCCTGCTGCTTTTCCAAAAGGCCCTAGAAACATGGTTCTATCCGTGATCTCCTGGGGACCCCAAATGGACAGGAGCCAATCAAGTGGCTGATTTGATTGTGTTGTCCCTGCCCTGAAGGGTGGCTGGGGTTTTTAAAACAGCTCTTTAGTATGTATGCAGAGGATTTTTAAAGTCACCCAGAGCCAACTATGTACGACTATATGAATTTATGAAATAAATTTGTGCTGGAAATGGGGCAACTACACTTCTACCCTGTATCCCCTGGGTGGGGGGGAGCTGAGGACAGGAAGGGTGGAGCATTGACCAATCCATGCCTCTTGCTCGGTTCTAGGTCCCTCAGACTGGCCTCTGGTTGGGGCACAATCATCCTGGGGCAGACCGTAGAAAAGCGAGGCTGCTCCCTCCCTCCAAAGTCACAGGAACACCACTAAAATTTCTCAAGGGCCCAAAATGATTTATCCAGGAAAAGAAAACAGCATCTGTCTTTCTCCATCTGTAATCCAGGTTTGACTTTCAGATTTAAGGGCTCAAAGGGTACCTTGTCAAACCCTTTGTCTTCCAGCTTCTTGCCAAGGACATCTCCAATCCCCGCTAAAGTGCCAACCGGCTTCTCGCCCATCGGCTCGGCCACAATGTTCCGGTGCTTCTGGCTGGTCATCATGTCGGCTGCTGCCCTGCCCTGGCTGGGAAGCAAGAGACCAAGTATCCGTTAGACAAGGAAGACTCCTGTTTAGCCAAGAATGTATTTTACTAGAGCCAAAGTGGTTGCAGCAGAAGCAAAGCTGGATCTGAGGTTTTCCTGTGCAAAAGTCACAGTTAACTTTCCCTTTCCCCCGGCCATTCCCCCCCCCCC